ACCAAGGCTCACCCAAGGGCAGACGTAAAATGATGGTCTGGTCAGTATGTGAGCATGACACCCTGTGAAACGTGCAACCTATTTGCTTCATGTATAACTTGCAAGATCACGGAGGCCGCCGTCACGGAATATTTTGAATGTCACGACACCCAGCTTGTATCTGCCCACCTGGTCTTTGCAGCATGGTTGGAATCACAAACTATAAGGGCGTGAACAGATGTTGAGCCATATCGCACATCATCACAGTTTTTGCCAACATTACGATGTCCACGTAGGTCCTGTGCAGAACATTAACCGCAATAAATACTTAAAACCCGCAAACTGACCACAAGCCGTTTCGATGGTTCAGTTGGTTAGAGTGCCTGCCTTGCTGGGTTGGGTTCGAGTCGCTTTAGCCTCTCGCTGCTTGCTCGTAATTGGGATGGTCTCCGGCTGTTGGCAACAGTCGCGCTAAAGGTCAGGTGGCGTCAGAGAGCAGGGCAGTCGGTGGCGAACGTTAAGACACGTGCGGCTTCCGCCGCAAAATTCTATCGTGGATCTGGAATCTCACGATCGGATGGTGGGCCTGGGCTCACGCAACAAGCACTGCATAACGTGAGCACTGATCTAAGTAATGGGCCCAATCAAAAGTCTTGGACCAGGTCTAAGAGTGCATTGTTTTGCCAAAGTTGCCGAAGAGACTGAGCGGTATTTATAACTATTGGTAATTGCGGTTGTTGCCAGGAGCAGCGGTGCTTCACGTAATATTTCTGCAGATCTCCAATAAAGCCTAAAATGACACTATCCGCCACTCGGCCTTCCCATCCAACGACATGTTGCTCTTCCCCTGTCTCCCTCCGTACTTGCTCCATGTCTCTGATGTCCCTCTGGCCACCTCTCCCCCCACATCACTCCTCCAGTTACCCCCTCGCAACTGTTATCAGCCCCAGCAGTCTCCATCATGTGTTCTCAACTGCTCTTGCCCCCCCCCCTCCCCCCCGGCCCGAATCCTAGCCAGAATGCAGTGCCGCGCAGTCGCTGGAGAGCGCTCTCGGCTGGACACGCAACTTCTGCTAAAATATCAGTCCGCAGCCTGGCCCGGCCCGGCCAACCAGGGATGCGGCCCGCAGAAGCCCGCTGTGGTGTCATGCTGACCCAGCACGAATTCGCGAACATTGAGCTGAAGGAAATCTGTATTCTTCTCAACTGTCACCTGTGTATAAAATGTACGGTTGTTTATAAATCTGTATTCTTTTTAACGGTTGTTTGCATATAAGATGTACATAAAACACGTGTTTTAAGGCACATATAATGTACAGCCTTGTCTACTAAAAGCCGGTAGTAAAACGCATCGTTAAACAAGCATCATACATCACTAAAACAAGCATCTGCACTGCTTATCTAGTTCATTACGCTGTACAACAGCACACAAAACAGCCGCAATTTCATAACCCGGATTTATGAGAGGAATCCATGTTCTTGTATAGTGTGTGTCGCCTTTTAATGAATACTTCATGTGACGGTACAGAATGATTCCCGCACGACAGGTTTGGAATGATTCACATTTTCCTGTTACCACAATACATATTACCTTGCAGAATGTCAGCTACCGCGCTTTGTGAGCCGCTGCGTACAGATAAACCAATCATATTTTGGCAGATGATTCTGCTCGTGCTATAATTATTAGCATCATTTGGTTAACATTATTACCAAGAGCAAACATCATTCGTTTTCAGCAGTGCCACAAAACCCGGAATTGTTGTTAAATGGTGGAGCAACAGTTCGACAAAATGGAAGTCTGAGCAGAGTTTGTCTAATACATCCGTTCACACGGTCTGATAGCAGTAACTTTCAAAACTATACAAAATTTACACGTTAAAAATAGTGGCGATCTCAGCAAGGGTGTGGTACATAGCATATAAGAGTTTTTGCTATCGCTGTGGTAAATTGCACGCTCTGGCGTGTACGCAGGCATAAATGAACACACTCTAAAGCATCACTATTCGTGTTTAGACAACTGTGACGCATCTGATACGCAGGTACCCGCGGGCTGTAATGACAGTGAGCGAGGCTTGAGCATTGAAAGTCACAGGGCTTCGAGATATTGGCTCTGCGCTATGGTCTGTGCATGAAACGAAAAAGTTGGTTGCACCTCACCCTCGCAGTAACAGCAAAGTACAGTATTTTTTCTGCGTTTATACACAGGATCTCGCTGACTACTACTGGATGAACACATGCCAGGGCTGGGAAATCTTGATGGTTATTGTGTACTTTTTGGGTGAAACTTTTCATAACGTTATTATATTTGAGCAGCATGGTTTGTTGGTGTGATGTGTGCCGTGGGTTGTCATGATCCAAGGCCCTTGTTATAAGAATAAAAAATGCTATTATTATATTGTGGGGTGGCAGTGCACTCAAGTTTTTGGGAAGATTTGAAATTCTAAGTCCAGGGCAAAATTTAATAACGAGGATTGCTTAGATTTTTTCCCCCACAAAAGCCGACCAAGTCTGTTCAGCAGGCCACCCATAAGCCCGCGTGCTCCTGCTGAGTCAGATGTGACGGGTTAGCAGGCCAAAAAGCCGCGTCTCTTTTCTGGACTTTGGTCACCACGATCCGTTCCCGTCACTGCGGCCCTCCACCATTGCCCTCCGGCAACAGGCGGGCGGGAGGGAGGCTCGTCGCCGGAGCCGGCGATATCGACTTCCAAATACATGCAGATAACGGCTGTAAGAGCGGACATAGATCGCTGGTTAAAGGTCGGTGTTACGGCGAAAGACCGGTGGCGCATTGGATGCTCCCTGGCGACAGTGCTTCGGGTCGCCTCTCGACGATTACCGCGAGAAGCCGTGACGTCATATTAACTATAACACTTGGCGACAGGGTTCGTTAAGGGGGAGTGCCACTCCCATCTTTGGAGCATACTAAAAAAAGAGCTCTCATGCATTGTTAGGACTAGTTGAGTGTAGTGATAGCACTGGGCAGCGTCACTGCAGCGCCGTCGAGAAATGATAAGGATATATGTCTGAATTATTTTGGAATCCAAATTATGCTGCCCACGCCCTGCAAGAGCACCATCCAGTGCTATTATGCTTCTTTCCTGCAGTCGCGACCACCGCCGTCATAACAACGACCTCGCACACCTCTCTACTGGTGCGAATAAAAGAGCATTCACTGATTGGCCCAGCGGGTAAGAGCCTGTTGCCGAGAAGCTGGTTGGTTGAAATTTGAACCAGTGCGTCACATTATGTGATATACTCGCTTTCGAAAGCCTAAGTGCGCCTCGGACAAAACCCTGCGGTAAATGCCATAGGGAAGAAATCAAAAGCCATAATATAATGTTTCGTTGAATTCGCAGGATAATAGCTTCATGTTCGCCTATCTTTTTATCTAAACAGAGTATCACAAGCTCTCTTCGCATGAAGTACACAAACGTTTCGACACATTAGTGTGTTGCAAACATTGCAGGGCAAACACATTAAAAAGAGCAGGACAAATGAAATGTGGTACTTGCATGGAGGTGAGCAGGGAGTTACATGATATTTCTTCCGCAGGGCCGGCTACTTCAGCACGAAAGTCCTGAGCTTTTCAGAAAGATTTCAAGAAAAGCTGGCATTACCGATCATATTGTACACGCATGGTGCAGCAATGAGTGAAAAGTACAAAAAGGTGGCAGAACCCTATCGAGTAGTGGGCGTGAGCTCTCAGCGAGAGGCAGGGTCATGCTTTGCCGGTTTTTTTTGCTTTATTTTGAAGGGATATAATCACAAGCGGAGACTCATACAATAATTGGGGGAGCGGCAAATGCTAGGTTTTTTCTACAAACGGATTGTTATGTAACTCACCTCGATTTCTTAATGAATCTTCTTAAATTGAATTATTGTTTCATTTTAAGCTTTTCAATCTATTCACTTGTATTTCCACCGGGATATTATTGTCGACTCGTTACGTTACGATACGTTTACGTGCGCATGTTATGTTAGGTTCATAACTGCACCAATTTGACAATGCTCTTTCGTACCCCAGGTGTCGCCCTTCAGTGCGACCATGATTCATATGAATACAGGGGCGCATACAGGACCTCACAATAGTTGGACAGACCTCTTATCCTTTCCACCAAAAAAGTCTGAGCGTACAGCAGGACACACGAAATGTTTTATATAGCGTATAACAACATCGCATGTTTTCAATCTACCCATTTGTACGTGGGTACTTTCATTCATAATGGATAACATTGTTTCACATGCTCACTAATGCGTGTAAAAATGACCTGAGGAGGGGGCACACACCTCTACTGAGGACCCCTGGAGCGCATCGCTGTAGGTTTAAATGGAAAGTGTAATCAAAGGCAGTGGCAATGCCAATGGTGGCCTGATGTGCTCTTCACAGGACAAGCGCGCTTCTGAGTTCCTAAGATTGGAGAACGACGCCGACGAAGCTGATTTAACGCCGCCGGGGACCCAGAAGTCAAATTTCTCAGCAATTTGTAGTACTCACGCACAGGAAAATGATAATACCATTTTTCAAGTGACACGAATGTCAGTGCATTGTTCCTAGTTTAGAGCAGGAAACTCTCGACCACCAACGTGTTCGGTACCGCGCATTTCCCACCTGCTTGCACTGGCATCACGAACGTTTTACCGGTGGTCAAACCGCAAGATAACCGGGATTTTCCCAGAGCTGCGGCCTTGCCACAGTCGCATTTCTGTAGCCACCCAGCTGACTCCGGCCGACCTCCCCAGTTGGTGCGACTGGAGCCGCCTCTGCATATTCCTTTCTATTTTCATCATGGGCGTACAAACAGCGACGAGCGGTCGCCCAGCGTCGGGCGCTCCCCGCACTGACCGAACCACTAATTGTCAGGATGTCTCGCCATCACGGATTCGCCAGCGGTGCGAGCCGGTGCCGGTGCGGGCCAATGAGAATGCCCGACACGATTCGGGTGAGTCCAATCAGCCGACTGAGGGGTGGCCGTTATGCGGCAGCTGTCACCAGCGCCGCGGACCGCAGAGGGTCGCGCGTGTTCGGACGGGGTGGGTGTAGCGCGTGTGCGGATAGGAGGAGGACCTCACGATCGAGGCGTTGGTGGCGATTGGTGACAGTTGGTGAACGGTGGTGATTGGGTGGTGTTCGGACGATTTTCTGGGACGGCTGCGATTAACTCAACGGACCAGGTGGTGGCCCGTGCGTGAGCGATTTGAACTCTGAGACGGACTCTTGTGGACTCGTTTGTGCTGATTATTCTACCAGTGTTCTGCCTTGTTTTGGCGATGCGGTGGAGGGGGGCTTCTTAAAACTGGATTCTTCTCGAGAAATGATGTGAGTACAACCGTCGTGAACATACCGCTCTTCCAATGTCACGCTTGTTATGGCCTGTCATTTACCAAACACACTTGAGTGATAACATTTAGGGCTCTGAGGAATTAAGCACATCGTTTTCCCCGCCACCATGGTCGTTACTCGAAACGACGGCCATCGCGAGTCTCAAGCACGCCCCTGGACGATCCGTGAAAGACAACAGCCCACACCGCCATAAAGCCATTCATTCCATTCATTGTGACCACGAGTGGCGTTTTTCCAAAGCGGAGGTGCCCTCGCGGTCGAAGCACGCGCCGCATGCGGCGATGAGCGACCGGCTCTAGCTTCCCCGCAACCTCTCGCACCGGCGTCCACCACGGCCGTGTGGATGGTGTGACTTGACGCCCCTTGAGAGTGTCGAACGGCGTGGCTTGACGCCCGGTGAGGGTGTCGCGCCGTGTTGAGCGGCGCTGAACGCGACCCCGGGTTCCGGAGGCCGTAGGGCCGCTGGCGGCAGCACGGTCACCCGGCCTGGCCGCCGAAGGGGTGATGTCGCCGCCGGTTGGGCCGACAGTGGGGGCAGTCGGCGAGACCAGTCATCCATTATCCGGGACGTGCCCTCGGCCCGAGGGCGGCGCGTGGGAACGGATTCCGACCCGGGGTGTTGAACCCGGCTACTGGCCGCTTATTTGTCCCGTGTTCGTCACGCGGCGATGGATGGCTGGCGCCGAGTGACGCGGTATGCGCGAGGGACGCGGAACTCTCGCCGCCCGCCGTCCTATCGTCCCCTCCGTAAATCGTGGGCCGGCCAACCCTTCCGCACGCATTCTTCAGTCCTCGGGGGTCGCAGAGACGGAACGTTGATGGCGTCTCACCGATTCGTCACATGGACGTAGGAACATGGGGGTCGCGATCCCCGCTCTTACAAAATGTTGATCATTTACGCCATGGTGATGCATGGAAATAATCGACTTCAGAATTGGTATCCCTCCACCCGCATCATGAAGCGTATTCCTACGCCTACGCGTCATGCTCTTCCGACTTCTCATAATCAGCCCCTGCGACTTCTGCACGCGCTGCTCATTACGTCTCCCCCACATACCTGGCGCCCCGTCGGCCACCTTTGAGCCGAGCCGGCGGCGCCGGCGCCCCTCGTTCCCGCACTTTACGAGCAGGCGCCTTCCCAGCGCGGGAGCAGAGGCGGCCCTGCCGGCGTCGCCGGCCCGCGAGAGCTACCGGCCGCGGCGCCGTCCGGGGCCAGTCACCCCGGCGGCCGCTACGGTCGGCGGCGGCGGCCGGCGCCAGGGCACCACCCGCCGACGGTCGGCACCCGAGCTGCTGGGCACCTCCGACGGCAGCAGGCGGTCCCGCCGCCGCCGCACGAGAGCCTTGGTCATCCCGCGACGCCGTGGCCGGCCCCTCCCCAACTGAAGTGCCGCCGCCGAGGCTCGGAGACTGGCCGCCTGGCGGGAGATTGGGTACAAATACCTGCAGGCAGCTTCGGCCTGAACTCGCGCAACAACGGACGTTTTTGTGAACCTGGCGATCGCCTGGCTTTCTCAGCAGGACGGTGCATCGGCCAAGTTTCTTAACGGTATATCATAAACAATTTGAGTGCTTCCCTTTCTTTTGTGAGGGTGAGGGTTTCGTGCTGAAGGGTGTCGGATTTCGATGGGAGGGGATCAACGGCTTCGACGTTGAGCAATAGCGGACTCCAATGTTTTGAAGAGGCGCAGCTGCCGAACTGTTGACAGCGCGAGCGGTTTCTTGCGTGGGGTGTCTGGGCGATTGGGCGGCTCTGGATGCTTATAGCTGCTGCTGCTAGGTGACCATCGGTTCTCAGTACGGAAGCTCGCCGGACTCATTCCCAGCATAGGCAGGTAGTCCTCCGAACAGGTTCGCGTGATAAGGGCGTGTCTTCTGACGTCATAGGCGTAAACAAATGGTTCCCCACGCGGGGCATCCGGCTACCTCCTCCAGCTCCCTTAGCCCCTCCAGCGCCTCCAGCTCCGGCAGGCTCCGGCAGCTCCGGCAGTTCTGGCAGTTCCGGCAGCTCCGGCAGCTCCAGTAGCTCCGGCAGCTTCAGTAGCTTCGGCAGCCTCAGCAGCTCCGGCAGTTCTGGCAGCTCGCAGTTCTGGCAGCTCTAGGAGCTCCGGCAGCTCCAGTAGCTCCGGCAGCCTTAGGTAGCTTTGGCAGCCCGGGCAGGCTGCGGAAGCTCCAGGCAGCTTCAGTAGCCCTGGTAGCTCCGGCAGCCTCAGCAGCTCCGGCAGCTGCGGCAGCCGCGGAACCGCAGCTGTCAGCGGGGCGGACCTCCGAATCTCCTGGACTTGTGCACGGCTGTTTCGCTTCGGCACCGGCTTTCTTTACTTCCCCACACCATAAATCTCGTGATGAGCTTGTCCAGCGCCCGGAAATTGTCAGTCGAAAGTCCCGGAAGTCCCCGTTACCCACGTTTGCGGTCCAACACTGCTGCGGGATGGGTGGGGTGAGGGGGGGGGAGGGGGAGGGAGGGGATGCTGCTGCTCCGGCATAGGGGATGAGTTCGTGAATCTTGGCTCGAACTGTCAGGCTGGCTGTCCGAACAGTCGAAGATGATGCCGAAGATGAAGATGACGGGTTGTCACCTCCGCGCTGCCGCGTGACCGTGGCCTTCCCGCGTGCGCGCTGAACAGGCCGCCTGACGGCTGCACTCGCTGCGACAGCACCCTTTTCCGCCATCGCTGCAACATCTCAGACGGGGCTGAACACGGCGCTGTGGAAATGTGGTCTCGTTCGTTTGTTGTTGTAAGGCGGACCGGACTCGGCTGTACCTTCACACCATAGACAGCTGTGTTTGCCTCCGCTGGTGTCGTCATTGAACTTGTTTTGCACCTGCTGCTCGTGGCGCACAGCTACATATGTGATAGAGCCTATGCATGTAGGATGGCGTCTCCGATCGTACCTGATTGTCGACGGCCGGTGTTCGTTTTTACCCACGAGAGCCTTTCGTAACTGTCGCGCAATGGCAACCATTCGCCCATTTTCCAGAGTCCACTGGATAGGCACTACAACACCATCTGCCCGGCATCCTGCACCCAGTGCAGTACACTATCCAGCGCAGTGCCCTACGCCTTCTGTAGTACGTTGCATCCATTGCAGTACCCTGCATCCAGTGCAGTGCCCTGCACCTTCTGCAGTACCCTGCACTCAGTGCGGTACCCTACACCCATTACTGTACACTGCACCCCGTGCCCCGCACCATGTTTTGTACCCTTCGCGCGGTACGTTTACATGCGCTTACCAATACCTTGATCCCAATAGCCACAGCGCGATGCCTCGCGTCCAGTGTCCCATTACCCCGCTCAGGACGCGTGAAGCGCGCAGCGCACCCCCCCCCCTTCCCCCATGCCAGTGGCCGGCGGCCCCGGCCGGGTGCGTTGGTCGGTGCCACCTCGGTGGCTCCGGCGGCTCCGGCGGCTCCGCGGCTCCGGCGGCTCCGGAGGCTCCGCGGCCGGGCCGGCGTGGGAACAGGCCGGCCCGTCGCGCAACGCCGCCCGGCCTGCTGCTGTCCTCCGGCGGCGGGAGCGGCGGCCGCGGGTGTTGAACCGTGTCACGGCGACACCCGCCAGAGCTCACTCAGACCGGCGGCGACACCCGCCAGAGCCCCGGCGACACCCGCCAGAGCTCACTCAGACCGGCGGCGACACCCGCCAGAGCCCCGGCGACACTCGCCAGAGCTCACTCAGACCGGCGGCGACACTCGCCCGAGCAGGCTTAGACCGGCGGCGACAAACGGTGGAAGGGGGGGGGGGGGGGGGCGTACGGCTTGTTCAAGACCCGCCTGGGTCTGTGGCGTCTTGAAAGCCGGTCGTGCTAATGTTCCGAATCAGTTGCCGTCAGCTCCAGTCGATCGTTACCAGAGGCGTTCAGCCCTTTATTGCCTATTGTTTCGGTACTTTACCTGGCAGCTGGCTGGTTTGCTTGAGGAAGCGCTGGTGTTGACGTCTGCGGCGGGCTCGGACGCCGCGCCCCCTCAGCTGTCGCCGCTTGCCCAGCGTCACCGGCGGCGGCACGCGAGGCAGCCGCACCGGCCATGAACTCGGCACACGCGAACTGTGTGCTCAATGACCACCTTCTCAGCATGACTGCGTATGGCGTGGTCCGTCGTGCGCCTTCACGTGGCTGTCGGCGCCTTCACGTGGCTGGTCGTGAGCCTTCAAGTGGATGTCGGACACCTTACGTGGCTTGTAGTGCGCCTTCACGTGGCTGTCGTGCGTCTTCACGTGGCTGTAGTGCACCTTCACGTGGATGTCGTGCACCTTCACGTGGCTGTCGTGCGTCTTCAAGTGGCTGTCGTGCACCTTCACGTGCTGTCGTGCGTCTTCACGTGGCTGTCGTGCACCTTCGCGTGGCTATCGTGCGCTTCACGTGGCTGTCGTGCACCTTCACGTGGCTGTCGTGCGTCACGTGGCTGTCGTGCACCTTCACGTGGCTGTCGTGCGTCTTCACGTGGCTGTCGTGCACCTTCACGTGGCTGTCGTGCACCTTCACGTGGCTGTCGGCGTCTTCACGTGGCTGTCGTGCGCCTGCACGTGGCTATCGTGCGCCTTCACGTGGCTGTCGTGCACCTTCACGTGGCCGTCGTGCGCCTTCACGTGGCTGACGTGCGCCTGCGCGTTCACGGGGCTGTCGTGCGCCTTCACGTGGCTGTCCGTGTGGAGCTGCTTTCCTCCTCGCGGAGGCGGTGCAGCGTTAACCTCATAAAACGCGGGGGAGTGGAGTCGTGGCCTGCTTGGGGCGGTGTCGTGTTTGTCGGCACTTCAGTCACGTGAAATTCTGCTCCGGGAACATTTCAGGCGTAACCGGTACACACGCGTGCTCTGCCACAGCCGTGTTCAGATTTGTCCGTGCTGTATATAAGCGATCAGTGCACTTGATTCAGGGCAGCCGTCGAAGTTCTCGCTGGCTTGACATCGTTCCCACAGGCGCCGGCTGCGGGCCGACATTCAATGTCATTCACATGGTTTGATCTGCAATGTCAC